TTATGTGGCATGTCCAGGTTTCAAGAAGACCGAACGTGCGAATTACTTTTACAATTTTCCGTATCCTTCTTCCATTTCCCGTTTTGTTTGTTAAAGCCCAGTCGTTGCTGTGATGTAGAGCCATATTAGCATTGAGGATCGAAGCTACATGAACTCAGGTCTGAATGAAGTTTTCGTGCGGGCCGTATATGGATATTACACATGGGCCAACTGTAGGTTGGGTTACGGCAACAGGTTAGGTTGAGACTCATACCTTTTCTACAACTTACTAAGGTTTCTTCATGACTTTTCGCCAAAGGTTGAGTGTTTGTTCCCATTATTCCTCTCCGAGCACATTTTGTTGTGGTTGTGGAAGTTGTGCAGTGAGGTAATGATTGCAGGTACCCGTTTTTCCGGTGGTTCGCGTAGGTCTGCATTCAATCTTTCTCATATTTTGAGAACTCGGGAACGAGGACTATCGAAAATGCCAGAGTCACTTCAATTGTGAAGAACAGTAGCGTGCACGATAGTGACAATGAAGGGTTGTTGCTACGGTAGGAGAGGTTGAAGAAGCAGGAAGTAACTACGATTTACCCACGAAGTTGAGCTGGTTCAAGATATTCATAATACCTATCACATTAGGGCAGGGCTAGAATTGTAGATCGTAGTCGTAATCAGGATCTGTGGTTCCTCCTGTGGTTAGAGTTTTAGAAAAATAATTTTCCTATGTTGGCAGGTAAGGGTGTTGAACTGCTTTCGACTTTCCAGTTGATACGAAGTAGTTGAAAAAAATGAGTTGCTTCGAATTGAAATTTTATTAGTTTGTTTGCACATTTTGGACCAACAACATGTAAAAGAGAACTATGATAAAAGCACTAAAACAACTCTGACATAAAAGCAGATCGGATGAATTTATTTAACAGCTTTTTGGAAGCAACTTAGTTCAACGGATATACAGTAGCGCTCAAAAGCCTTCGGTGAAATGCTTCCTTAGCCGTACTTTTCAGTTGTGACTGCTTTCCTAGTGGATCGAATCATGCGCAATTTCAATAGCATGGGTGTGTTGTGAATACTTACCACTATTGACCTGTAATCTGATCATGCTTCAGATATACTAAAGAGCTTGAGCTCTAAAAAAAAATCAACTGAAAATACAGATGATGGTCCTTCTAGAGTATCTTTCCTTTTTGGCATGTCTAAAGTGTACGAGCGATAATGCCGAACAGTAGAGGAGGAAAACGTACATAAGGTCCGAATAACTGCAAACGTCAATAACTTTGCTTTTAGCGAAATCTGCTGCCGCATAAACATCTTATTCTTATTATGTGGATATGTCTGCTTCACAATCAAATCGTGTTGTATAGTGTGAAATATGCTTCAGTCAAACATATGAAAATTTCGCGCGATTTACTCCAGTAAGGAAAAAGTTATGAACGAAAAAGGGTCAAAGCGTTTGACCGAAGACTTTTGAGCGCTACTGTAGATTCGAGCGCATAATAGTCATGAAACACGTACAAACTTTCTGACTAAAAACGTTGATCTGCATTGAGTTTTGGCAGTGGGAGTCGATAGTTTAGTGGTAGTTCCCCTCGTGTCTGATAGCAATACATTGAAGAGATCAGACGCTTCAATCTTTATTAGGTTCCTCAAGGTTTTGATTTTGGAAAACATAAGAAAGTCATACCTTCTCCTTGGTTCTAGTGATTTCGAAACGTATTTCACCTTTCTAGCTGCACCATTAGGGATGACAACATTCGTAAGACCAGAGCATCTAATCATAAATTTTCGTGTGAAGTTATTTCGAACAGTTTTCGAAGCTCTTACGTCTTTTCTCTTGTATAATTTATTACCGTTGTCCTGTTCCTTGATATAGGGCGCACATAGAGTTCGTAGGCCCGCGACAAGATCTTCTCATTCCTTGATCGCAGAGCTTTGAACAAGTTAAAATAAAAATTCAAATCATTCATAAAATCATTGGAGCTACTTTGAATTTAAATTTAAATTTCCGCAAATATATCGTGTATGCAGGGCCTGTTTGTGACAGTGGCCATATGTCAATTGTATTATACTGTAATGAAAAAAAGCGAAAACAGCAATTGAATTCTAGGCAAATAAGCTGTTCGATCGACTATCTAGATCGCTACCCCGGTTGAATTTTATAAAGAGAATAATTGTGAAATGTAGAGTTACAGCACAATGCTTTGCTTTGTTGACTGATGCTTCTTCCCGAAATGTCGGCGGTATGCTAACTATTTATTGTTCCATTAGCATACTTACCAAACTTGTAATTAAGTAGTCCGTTTTAGAGTGCAACATATCATTAGGCCGCAGAAGGTAATGGACTTGCTAACTGCTATCACTATCAATAACTTACAGTACCACGTTTTCTACTTAAGAATTACACAGCACATTTGGGACTACTTAACCCTTCTTATACCACGGTTGATAATAGTTTTATGCTATGAGTCAAAGCAATGGTCACAGTCGGGACACTTTTCTCTGTTCCTCATGGCTTGGTTCATTGACGTGATCTTGCACCGTTCTGCATCAGGTGCTGCTGTTGCGTTGATCGTAGGACAGTTCGGGAACTTTTATTTCAATCTGGATTATTCTCGTGGTTTTCACTCGGGTGCTGTTAATTCTAATCACATCAAGTTTTTGGGTCAACTTGAAGTTTAACTTCTTCCTTTGGACTAGTTCAAACCAGTGCCAAAATACATCAATAGGGTAGAATTTGGAAATGTGGTGGGGGATTTGTCGCGGATGGTCTCCAACAAAGCATAACTGTACCTAGGAAGTCGGGTGCGGGACTTATTGTTAAATATTTCATATTTGTATGATTTCCCTTATTTGGAGCAACTACAAAGCTTGCAGATTGAATTTCAACGTGAGTTGAGGAGAAAAGTTTCCATTGCTTCCTC